AAAATTGTAGGTGACCTTTTTAGGGTAAAAACCCGTTCAAAATGGGCGTTTATACCATTTTTAAGGTGTTCGAAAATCCTAGGAGAGGCAGACAAGCAAGAAATTTTGGAAAAAATGTTCCGAAAATTCTAGATCTCAAACCGTCTTCCGAACAGATATTTTCCGAAAATTGTCGTTGGGTGCCCCTGTGTAAATACCGTACGCCAGCACTTTCCATGAAGTATTCTCTATTTAATACCTATTTCAAACAAGGTTGTTCCCGTGAAACATGATCCATGACGGATGATCCATGTTTCATAGCCTGCACTATGGTCCCTTTTGTAGCGGGAAGTGTTCATTGGAATCATGGAGACCATGTACCATTTAGAAAACTTGTTGGAAAGTGTTAATAACCTTTGAGAAGGCGGAAATGGTTGCGCAAATTCTTAAGCGCGATGGAGCTGAAGAATTTCATTTTTATAATCGCACGGCAAGAAATTACAAGCCATTTCGTTTAACAACTGCTACATATGATTATAAACTGAGGGTTTTACTGCTCGATTAAGGTGGCTCCGTAATTAATACAAGAGCATTTAGCTGTGACAAATTTTCCGTCATAACGTTTTCGATTTTAACGCGATGGCTGCGAAACTTTGCAAAGAACAATATATATCATTCGGCAATAATACGAAATATTCCGATTTCATTGATGGTAAATATTTCTTGAGAAATTAGCGCTTAAAAGGACCCTAATGTTCGAAGAAAATCGCGTCTAGTAAAAAATTTTGCTGATATTTTTTACTGAAATTTCTGGTATCGGCTTTAATTGATATAATAAATATGCCAGAGGAATTTCAGAAAAATCGTTGGAGCAGAAGTCCGTAACTAAAAGTCGCTGAAAATTCAGCTGTGAAATTGTTTTGGAATTTCAAAAATAAATTACTATCAGGAAGAAGGAGACACCAGTTTGAATTTTCGGGACAAGTAAATTCAATGTTTGCTAATTCTGAAAACAAAAGCCGATTGCCTATCGTGCTATTCTTTAAAAGGTACTTTTCAGTTTTAGAAGCACTATAAATTGCTCCAAACCTTGCTCTGAAGTAGAATGACTTGTTCCTCGACACTTTTAAAATAGCCCTTGGCAGTTTTGGTTCAAACTCCTGCTACATACATTTTGATGTATTGCAATGCATCCTCAACGGCTTTTCTTGCTGTACGTTGTTTCCAATTCAGGAAAAAGGTATTGGGATTGTAAGCTACCTTGTATCGAAGCTCAGATAGAACTGTCCAGCACCTTTGTTTATGACCAGAAAATGAGCACGTGCGGCAGCTCTGCGAGGAATTCACACCTCAGCCAGGGGGGACGAATGATAATGATACCCATGTCTGTGAACCGATCTGTATAAACATGTATTGCAGAGCAAAACATAATAATCAAGAAAAAATACCCATTCATTGAAGGAAGGAGTGACAAAAATTTCAGAGTTGTAAATTTATTCACGGGCAGTATTTTTGCGATAATTTTATTTTACACTGTGATGTTATTCGGTTCACAGGCATGGTCATCATTGTTGTTCGTCCCCCCTGGGTGAGGTGCGAATTCCTCGCAGAACTGCCGCTCGTGCTCATTTTGTAGTCATAAACAAAGGTGCTGGACAGTTCTATCTGAGCTCTGATACGAGGTAGCGTCCAATCTTAATACTTTTTTCCTGAGTTGGAAGCAACGAACAGCAATAAAAGTCGTCGAGAATGAATTGCAATACATGAAAATGTATGCAGCAGGAGTTTGAGCCAAAACTGCAGAGGGATATTTTAAAAATGTCGAAGAACAAGTCATTCTACTTCAGTGCAAGGTTTGGAGCAATTTATGGTGCTTCTAAAACTAAAAAGTACCTTTTAAAGAATAGCACGATAGGCAATCGGCTTTTGTTTTAAGAATTAGCAAACGTTGAATTTACCTGTCCCGAAAATTCAAACTGGTGGCTCCTTCTACCTGATAGTAATTTATTTTTGAAATTCCAAAACAATTTCACAGCTGATTTTTGAGCGACTTTTAGTTACGGACTTCTGCTCCAACGATTTTTCTGAAATTCCTCTGGCATATTTATTATATCAATTAAAGCCGATACCAGAAATTTCAGTAAAAATATCAGCAAATTTTTTACTAGACGCGATTTTCTTCGAACAGTAGGGTCCTTTTAAGCGCTAATTTCTCAAGAAATATTTACCATCAATGAAATCGGAATATTTCGTATTATTGCCGAATGATATATGTTGTTCTTTGCAAAGTTTCGCAGTCATCGCGTTAAGAACCAAAAAGTTATGACGGAAAATTTGTCACAGCAAAATGCTCTTGTATTAATTACGGAGCCACCTTAAGCTGCGCTTTTTGGCCAAAATGCTGATTATTTCAATAAAGCAAATAAACACAATTCCTTTTTCTCTCGTTATTTGTCATTGTTCAACAAACGACTTGAATTTGATTTTAAAACTCGAACCAAAATTCCCACGTGCACGAGTCAAGCAGAGTCTTTGAAAATTTGCAATATTTGCATATTACCACAGACAGAGTTACACGTAAACTTTAATCACTGTCGTCTTAAAAAGCGGTAACTGCTAAAGGCCTAGATTTCAGTGTTTTGAAATAATTTATCTTAACGTTCTGCTTACATAGCACTGGAGCGGTCATTAGCCTTTGCTGTCTAGATTTCTAGGCTCGATGTGGGCATGCAATTTACTAAACTTGCACCCATAATGTACCGTGGGCTATGAAACATTGATCATGCATCATTCTTCATCGAAGCAACTTTAATTGAAATGTGTGTATCAAGAATGTATCAAGCAGATGGTGAGGAGGCTTTCGCAAACATTACGTACCAATGATACGGAGCGTAGCGGTTAAATGTTGCAATTAAGAACGCAATATTTGTCAAGTTTGCGTCAAACTTTGATATATAGAAAGACAATTGATCATAGTTCTAATTGTGGAAATATTAGTAAATATATATGTGTAATATGATTTCACCTGTTTTAACAAATTCTAGTAAGTAGAACTAAACGTTTTGGTCAGAAGAAAAATACAGTCGAAACTTACTTTACAAACTATTCATTACAACGCCGGGACAGTTTCGCTGGTACCCAGGGAAAGTTCGATCTTATAACACCCAAAATTAATATTGTCTCTGAATTCAACCTCATTGATACAGACACCCGTCCGTTGCGAACAGTGGACATCGATCAATAACCTCACTCATGATGCGCACACTATTTTATCCCCTGTGTGCTGCAAATGAGCCTTAAATATTGCATCAATTCCTCTCACGGAATAAGAAACTCAATCATAATAATAAAATGGCTATGTGGAATCTAACACAGAAGAAGTTTGAATTAAGATTTGAATATTCAATAAAAAATGTCAGTATAAACTTTTACTAATTGTCTGTTGCCTACTGTACCAAGATGAGGGCATTAAAACTACTATACTGATATTAACCCGTTAGAAGAAAAAGGCGGATATGGGGAGGAGGCGGTTCGTCAAGAAAAAGACATCCATAACCTATAGCTGTATACTTATACCCGATTCGATGCCCTAACAACCTCTCTTTGCATCACGGGTAATGCACTGTCAAAATTTATAATAATCAACCGCATTTCGTAATTGCTGTCACTATTTGCAATAAATTAATCGCACTAAGATACAGCAGGACAATTTGTAATAAGCAGAAGTTTGAATTAAGATTTGAATATTCAATAAAAATGTCAATATAAACTTTTACTTTTTTAAAGCTTTTATGTGATCTGAATTAAAACTTCGTACTAAACCTGGGTTATCTTAACCCAGCTTTGAAGATCCCGGCCCAGGGATTAACTTTTTAATTAAAGTTTTTAAATGAATTACGTCGTTGTTCCGTAAGATCAATAAGGTGCATGCTCAGAGTCAAAACCGTAAAAACAAGTTCAATCTGCTCAACAGAATTTCTTCGGGAAGACGTTGGGTTTCCGATACAATGATGATTTAACCTGATAGCAGCTGCCAAAAGGTGAATACCCAATATAATTAGAGAACCAATATCGGCACTATTTCCATACTACAGGTTAACAAGGTGTTATCAGCGTTTTAGCAGCAAACAAGCTACAAAAGTGGGCTTGTTAATGTTAATGCTGTCGACGTTTCTGCCAAACGGATGCAAATAAAGTAAATGACTTGAAATTTCACTTTCAAATTTAAAATTTAAATTTATTTCTTCTTACTATGGGAAACCACCTTGAGAATCATCAATCTTGTACTCAGGAACCTCTAGCTACTCATACAAGGGACGTGACATAATTTATCCTTAAAGCAAATTATTTGGAAACTGAAGAAACATTGCGTAGGAAAGTAGACCGTTCTATGCGACTAATCTGTGGAATTGCAGAAAATGGAACCGCGGAAACTGAAGAAATGGATAAAATGAATGAAACTTGCCAGCGTTATTGACGCCAAATTTGATGATGACATAAAAGTGTTGACATTGGCCTTTGAAAACAAACCTTCTGTTTTTTCTACAGTTAGCTCATTTGCAGTAGGAACGTCATAACACCAGGCTCTGAAGTTGTTGCAATTGGTAGATGCGTAAATAGATCATTCAGCTATTGGTTCATTTGGAATACTCACTTTGCTAGAACTCTAGCTGAATAATCGCTGGAAGGAAAATTTATCTTCCTTCTGAAAAATGTCTGTCGAGTGGCTTTACTTTGTTTTCATTGTTGTGAATGTGCATGTTCTTGGTACATCTGGAAAACAAAGAACTAATTGCTCATGTGTGAACTTCAATTGGAAAACGTTTAATTTCAGTTTTCTTCCTGAAAGTGAAAAGAAGTGGAAAGAGCGCGTCTGCAGTTACATAACTACGGGTCTTGAAGACGTAAATGTGTCACTACTTACAGAGAATGCCACTTGCAAGTGGGCGATAAATGTTTCGTTTCCTGTGATATCTTACGATCCTCGGCCTAACTTGACATTGGAATTCCTTCCCTCTCCTGTTCTGGTTAAGAAAGAAATTTCCTCAAACACCGCAAAAGACGTTTTCATTGCTCTTAGTCAGACATGGAAACTACTTACCTTTTGCCTTTTGGTTGCTGTCTTATCAGGAATAATTGTTTGGTTTTTGGTATGTTTTGCAAAAACTTCTTCTACTCTTATACCCGTCTTTTAAAACCAAGGGTAATATGAGATCATTCAATTATTAAAAGGTATGGGTTAGGGTTTAGGCCGAAGGATACAATTTAATTGCCGGAGGATCTATTCATTCGTACAAAACACTTAATTACTAACTTTTTGGCGCATAAAGTTTCAAGCACTATATTTAGTCATGTAACACTTTATGTTGTTAAATTTAAGGGTTCCACGGTTTTGCTCAGTTAATGAGAAGAAACTGAAAATGAAAAAAACATAAAAACTGTGCACACGTAATTCTTTACCGTATATAATAGCAAAATCTGAGGGTGCTGCTGTAGATACATTCGATCGCAAAATATAAACCTTAAACTTTTTCAGCCAGATGACGATTAAGGTTTTTTATTCGTTATAGGATCACAAAACAAACTCCGGACACTTCCCAGAGTCGTTTAAGCACGGAATGCAAGAAGGCTTATGGTGGGCCATTGTTACCATGACAACCACAGGGTAGGGACATGTTATACTTTACAGTTAAAGTGCACACCTGCGAATGGAGTTGACAATAATGTTTAACGAATACGCACGGCATTAATTTTGAAAAATAAAACCCTTTCAATTCTTTCTTTATAAGAAAGTTTACAGAAGGCTAGGCGGTATCTTAATGGGCTTTCGCTCAATTACCATTATTTGAAAGTTTCCCAAACTAGATTATGTTATCACAGAGCGTTCCTGGTGCCCTCCAGTTAGCTATTAAGGAGTACAAGATACGGTCACTGAGGACTACAGCCTACGGTAATACACGGGGGACCTGGTTCTAGAATTACTGCGCTCGCTCGTTAGTACCAGGGCTTTTGTAGTCCGTCGTCTGGTCGCGCGCTACGAGGGAGTAGTCGAGGAGATTCGCGTGGTGAGAACAACGTAAGTATTTTTTTTTACCAATTTTTAACCTTTTAAACGTTACTTTTATGTTGAACAGTCTTTGGGCAATTAACCTTGAGCGTAAAAGAGGTAAAAATCGCATTTTTTTTCCTGTTTATGGTTCTGATTACTGACGTCCTTTACATTCTTTTTTATTACAAAAGTGTGCCAAGCAGATTAGGATGTCAACAGGAGATGTACACAGATGCAGGTAATTCACTTTCTTATGCTACTTTTCAAAGGTGAACTGCGATCTTTGTTGGAAGTATGTACTTTTTCAAAATCAAAATAGATTGTAAAGGCTTTTATATAAAACGGAAACTTCATCGTGAATCATGACAGCTGTGTATTTATTTGTCTCCTTAGTGTGTGCTCCAGTGGCTAGTCTCTGTTCGAACAAAGTAAGCTCACATTTCTGAAGATGACATTTGTATAAATTGTTTTTCAAATGCTTATACATGAATTTATTTACTGGTTTTGTGTCCTATTAATAGGCTGAGTAGATTGATATGCTGAAGGAAAGTTGAACCTTGGGAAGGGAAATGTGCCTCCGTTTCCGGTTTTAGGCGCCTTTTTGATTGACAGTTAAATGAACACGTCAAAATGAGGAATGAGCACAGGTGTTTTGAGTCTTTCACGTTAAGAACAGTTGAGTTAATATTTCTGTGTTTTATCGCGTTGATTAAGTGTTCACAGTGGCCACAGAGCCGAGATATTTTGTGTGAATTCGAGAGCGAAAGTGTAAAAAACAAAGGAGTATAGAGTTATTCGTACAACCACGGAGAGAAATTCGTCTCAAACAGTGTAAAGCAAACAACAGAAACACGCGCGGACGTCGAAGGTGATTTTGCAATAGTGCCTAAATCAGAATGAGTGTTTCAAACGAACAGAGAGACCAAACACTGAAGTTATTTCCATCCAGCGAGTCTAACAGTACGCCCAAAGCAAGTAAAAGCTCAATTCTGAGAAAGAAACTTCAAGCAGAGAAACCCGCCCTTGAGATAAAAATAGCCGAGCAAAAGTGCGAAGAAGAAATCAGTCAGGCTACTGCATGCCGAGGCGGAGTGACGTGCCGAGCTGCTAGACCTTAAAAGGAGAACTGAAGAAACAAAATTAGACGTGGCTTACGAAGATGCTCTTACTATTGAGGATTCTAATCATGGAGATATTAACGATAAAGATTTGGAGGGGTTACCTGTTGATGATGTAGAGGATCGTGTTTTACGCTCACATTTGACCTTAGCTCCCAACACTCAGACTGTTGTTGATGATAAACGTCCCGTTGGTAAAGAATCCTTAACCGTTCAAGCCGTTGACGAAGGCGATGACAATGGAGAAATTAAGTAAAACCGGAGACAAGAAAACGTCGAGGCGAAACATGATATGATATGCAATCCGGCTACCACAGGGATTCCAGGTGAGCCACAAGTCAAGCTAGATCAATTTTTTGAGAAAATGCTTCCAGCGTTCACTAAAATTGTCAAACCAAGTGTGCCAAAATTAACGGAGAGCCACTCGCGTACTCGAAGTTTATAGCAGCATTTAAAGTGGAAGTTGACAAAAAGGAGGTTTATAATGCGACAGACAAGCTTAAATTTCTGTTAGATGCAAAGGAAGAAAGTGCAAAGTCCTGTTTGGCAAAATGTTTGTCAGGCTCTGAAAAATATAAGAAGACATGGACTGCGCGAGATGAGCGTTTTGGTCGAGCGGACACATTGTTGTGTCCGCAGCTAAAAGGCGTGTAGATCAATTCCCAATCATAGTGAAAGAAAAATAGCGAGCAGCAGATGAGGCAGTGTCAAGAAATGGTGTCGGAATTAACGGGCGTGTATAAGGAACACAACTTTGTTCATGAGATAGATAGATACCAGAAGCAAACGCTGCTAAGTATAAGCTTCCTGTTCTTCTTTGCGGTAGTTGGGCTGAGTTTGTGGAAGGAAAATCGAAACGTTCTACCTGGGAGTCGTTTGCGAATTGGCTAGAAAAAGAAGCGAAAATATGCGAGTCAAAGCAGAGGTGGATGCTGGAAAAGCAAGAATGGAGAAGGTTTGATTCGACTAGGAGTGATTTACCTAAAAGTGGTTCACGTAGGTCTGCTGGCAATCCCGCGGTGCCAGGACTGTTTGCGGGAACAACACAAGAGACTCCCGCAAGTGATGAAAAGTTGACAAAGAAGTGTCCAGTTCATAACTCGACAAGTCATGAGTTAGAGGAGTGTAAGAAGTTTAAGGAACTGCCCACTCTTGAGAAAGAGAAACTCGTTGAGGAACATAAACTTTGCCTGTTGTGTCTTGTCTGTTACCGGGCCATCCGCTGAACAAATGCAATGCTAAGAATGGAAGCAAAGTCGAGGGATTTGCATGCGTCATCATACTCTAGTTCATGAGGTTGACTTGAACATTATTGAACGATCAAGAGCGAGAAAAGCAGAAAAACTGGCAGTTGGTGAAGGAGCCCAGAAACCTTTTGTTCCGGAGGGTGATAGCAAACCTCTAAATCAGTCAGAGAAATCGTGGGAGCAGTGTCGTCACTCGGTGAGTTTAGGCTGCAAGGTTGGCATTCGTGTGTTGGTTGAGGTGCTGCCTGTAGTTCTGTTCTCATAGAAAGGCGAGCAACAGGTTATGGCGTTGCGTGACTCAGGATGTAACACAACACTTATGAGATGAAGAATTGGCTCATTCACTTGATCTTAAGGTGTTAATACAGAGAAGGAGTTGACCTCGAGACACATAAAGAACTGCCGTATTGCTAGAGTTGGAAGAGAAGGGGTGAAGTACGTATCGAGAGATGTGAAAACGTTTCCTAACCTACGTGGTCCGTATCAGAAGATAAAGTGGTCGGCAATTAAACAGAACTTTAGCCACCTGAAAGACTTGGACTTGAAGGACACGGACACGGGTCCAGTGCGACTGATAATAGGAGCAACAACTCAGATTTGATTCTACCAATGCAGATTGTGAAACCTTCAGGACAGTCACATGCTGACAAAGTACCATACGCAGTCGAGACACCTCTCGGTTGGGCAGTCACTAACTGGTTACCCTGTGAACAAAGAGTGGCGGTTGCTTACTGCTCAGTCGGAGGTAGTAGAGTCATCAGGTGTGGTGAGGCTAGCAGAACCCGTGCGTTCAGTTGAGGACAGACGCGCGTTGGCAGTAATGGAGCAGACGACTGAGAAATTGGAGGGTGAAGACGCTTATGTGTCAGGGCTGCTTTGACGCGAAGAAGACCCATCGCTTCCTTATAACTATGATATGGCTGCCCGGAGACTTGAGTCGTTAGAGAAGAAGTTTAAAAATAATCCCGAAGTCAATCCAGGATGACATTGAGAAGGGTTACGTGAGAAAACTAAATAAAGAGAAAGTACATGTATCGCTGACAGCAAAGTGACTTGGTACTTACCACTCAAGACACCTGATCGTCTCAGGAGAGTATATGATGCATCAGCGAAATTCAGGTGTCAAAGGCTAAATGATAAAATGTACACAGGACCGGACTACTCGTCGTCGTTTTTTGGTGTTTTGCTTAGATTTTGCGAACTGAAAGAAGAATAGCGTTAGCAGCAGACGTGAGAGAAATGTACCACATGTTGCGTTTACCTGAGATTGATCAGCCAGCCATGAGCTTTCTTTGGAGGGAATCGCCGAACGAAGAACCAAGTGGTTATCAGTTTGAGAGAACAGTTTAGTGTCGGCGCCATCTCGGGCTAACTACACGATGAGGCGTAATGCAGATGAGAACAGGGTAGATCTTCCCCTCGGCGTCAAGGCTTTTTACAAGCATTTTGACATGGATGACGATCTACCGTCTACTGACTTGCGAGAAGAAATTTAAATGCGGAAGCAGATGACAGAGTTATTGCGCCGTGGAGGATTCAAATTACACAAGTGGCTAACAAATGACCCTATTGTATTGGACTAGATCCCGGTAGAGGATAGATCTCCGCGTTTCCTTGAGTTGTGTGAAAATAAATTACCAACAGACCGAGCATTAGGAGTTACGTGGGATGCTCAAGAAGATGTATTCAAGTTCAATGCACTTAAACAAGAACCAGCTACTACAAAGAGAACAATCTTAAGCCAAGTGTTCTCTGTTTGGGACCCTCGAGGACTTCTCCTCCCGTTTTCAATCAGAAGCAAGATTATCCTTCAAAATCTGAATCGCTTAAAGTACGGATGGGATGATGGGTTGAAAGAAGCTGATCTTCGTGAGTGGTGCGAATGGTTTAAAGAATCATAGCTGCTTGAAACTGTGCAAATTCTGAGGACACTATTCAGCCGAAACGAGCTATTTCTAGAAACTGTCCTGAATGTGTTTTGTGACGCGAGCCAAGATACTTACGGAGCGAGTGCTCACCTCAGACGAGAGTTTGAAGATAATGTAGTTGAATGCAGACTAAGCGCTGGGAAAGGTCGAGTTGTGCCACTTAAGGCAGAGTCTATCTGTAGACTTGAACTAATGGGAGCTGTTATTGCTGCCTGTTGAGCTGAAACACTGGCAGCAGAGTTAATGACAAAGACAGAGAAGATAACCTTTTGGAGTGATTCTATCACCGTTCTTCACTGGTTTCACCAGACGAGCTCCAACTACAAGGCGTTCGTGGGAAATCGAGTATCCGAGACTCACACAATCATGAGTAACCTGGAAACTACACTAGGGGCGGGTACAGTGAGCTGGAGATACGCGCCGACAGTTGATAATCCGGCAAATGATATTACCCGGGAACTCCACCCTGTAGGACTATACGTGAAGCATCCCTACAGCGCTTGGCTGGAGTTCCCTTACAAAGCAGGAGAGTTCTGGCCAGAAAACAATGTTGAAGTGCACCTGGAAGAAGACAAGAGAGAAACGAAAACGCTAAGATGGGTCGGAGTTTCCCAGGAAATTGAACCTGTGTTGGGGTGGAAAAGATATTCCTCCCTAGCGGAACTAAGAAGAGTGCTGGCGTACGTGATGCGATTTGCAAGGAATAGACGAGTAAAGAAGGAACTGCGTCAGACGGGACCAGTGACAGTAACAGACTTAAGAGCTGCTCAGAACCAGCTAGTGAAGAGAGCGCAAGTAGAGTCTTTTGGCGAGGAGATAAGGCGCCTGGAAAATGGTCAGGAGGTTCATAAGCGGAACAGAATCAAATCTCTTGATCCGAGAATGGAGGGTGGATTTCTAGTAGTCGGTGGAAGGTTGCAAAAGGCACAAGCATTCCCTTACAAGACACGACACCCGAAGATAATTGACTCACATCATGAACTTGCGCAGCTGATCATTGAGGACATGCATCGTGCCTACCACAATCCACTAATCGAACATTTGCTGAATCAAATCATCCATTGGCTCATCCATTGTCGTTAAGCTGTGAGGAGCGTGAAATTTAACTGCAATTACTGTTATCGTCAGACAGTAAGACCCCAGGAGCAGCAATGGGAAACCGAACCTGGAATTCAGGAACACTGGGGTTGATTTTTTTTGGTCCTGTGATAATTAAGAGGAGACGCAGTGAAGTTAAAGTGTAGGGTTGTTTGTTTGTTTGCATGGCTAAACTAGAGCTTGCCATCTTCAACTGGTAGACGATCTATCAACGGATTATTTCATGATTGCTTTGAAGAGGTTCATTGCGCGGCGTGGGAGACCACTAAGAATATACAGCGATAACGGAACTAACTTTGTAGGTGCCAATAATAATGCGCTGTTGAAATTTCTAGGGCAACTGAATGAAGAGAAAGTCCAAAACTTTTGTGAACCAAGGGAGATTGAGTAGACTTTCCAACCACCAAGGGCTTCCCACTTCAGTGGCGCGTGGGAGAGGTTAGTGCAGTGTGCAAAGAAAACCTTGAAGTCTGTGCTGCAAAACAGGATCGTTGCTAAAGAAGCTCTTAGAACAGCTCTGGTCGAAGCAGATGGTGTACTAAACAGTCGCCCCATCACACATGTCTCAAACGATGCGGGTGATATAGAAGCGCTGACGCCAAATCATTTTCTGCTTCTGCGAGCAAATTCGAGTAATGAAGAGGCTGAAGTTAGTGAGAGAGAGAGATCAACGCAACGAAATTATGGCGACAGTCTCAAGCGCTTATTAACGCTTCTTTTGGAAGCGCTTAAACCAAGGAGCATATGCCTAGTCTTACAGAGAGGAAGAAGTGGAGAGAGAAGAGAAAGAATCTGAAGGAAGGAGGCGTAGTGCTTGTTGCAGAACCGATCGAACCAGCCGCGAGGAATATGGCCTTCGGGTAAGATTGTGTCTACTCCGGCCTGGATAAGATGGGATGGTCCGAGCAGTCACGGTGCGTACTCAGTACGGGGAATACAAGAGACCAATCACAAAACTGTGTTTCTTAGAGGAACCTATTGTAGGTCTAGAAACTGTAAATCGACTTGACTTTGTGTGGCGACGAGGGGCGGGAATGTGCCTCAGCTTCCGGTTTTAGGCCTGATTTTGATTGACAGTTAAATGAACACGTGATAATGAGGAATGAACACATGTGTTTTGAATCTTTCGCGTTAAGAACAGGTGAGTAAATATTTCTGTATTTTATGATGTCGACTCCTCGACAGGGAAATTAGTGGAGAATTATGGTGAATCGAAATCTGGTACCATGACCAAACAAGGAGTGTTATGTTTTACCAGGAGCCCATCAAATGGAGCCTCCATCTCCCATACAAGCCCTTGGAGTCAACCCTTTCCCGAGTAGATTTATAATTAGAACGGTTCCCAGGGGAGACTTCGCGCGCCGACGGTGGGAAGAGCCAATCACAACCACGAAATGACACTGCTATTGTACTTAATCAAACAGCAGGAAATCCGGTGCTGACAGGCCAAACACAATCATGAGCTAGTGAAACGTGACTTAAGCGTTTTCATCCCTCAGAGATTTTCCTTTTTTTCTTTCTAGCGGGTAGATTATAATGTGGAAAGTTTTACACTCTGATTATGTTAATCTTAATTTTGGTCAAATTTCTAGGTTTTTTTTTCCGAACTGCGTTTATCTGAATAAATACTTGTAGTCCTTGTGGTTGTTTTGTCCGTCAGCTAGTGTGATGATTCCCTGCTATGTTTTGTGACGCCGGGCCCAGCCATTGTTTTCTCGCAAAAAAGTGATCTACAGATGCGAATTCGAAGGAAGGAATTGAGCCTTAACTTCTACATTAACTGCTGAAAATTGTCCTGTTATTCAGTCATAATTCTTTTGGCGCAGATACAATCCATTTTGTTTTTCTTGAGATAAGTGGGTCTTTGGACTGGAGCGCGATGTCACAAATTCCTCCGTTAGCAAATTACGGTTGAATTAACTTCACGGTCGAGCAACTGTTGTCTTCTGTTCAAATTTTCAAGCCCTTGTTTTATCAGGCAACTCTCATGGTGATACAAGTCAGTTGTAAAGGAAGACTGCAATTTCTGAAATTTCGGAACTGAAGCATTCCTCGTTACTTGCTACTTAGGTCATCGCTTTTGCACGCGGTGCTTAACTGGCGAAATCCACTCCTCGGTGATGACAAAAATCATATGATCCTGGCACTTTTTCGTCGCTGGTCATCGAAAAGTTTCAAGTCGTCCACAGAACGTTTAATCGTCGAATCTTTTCAAGGTGCATGCTTAAATGTGGGATGTATGACGGCAAAAAAAAAACACTCCCAAAGATAACCTTTCCGTGATCCTCAGTTGGCTGCCTTTGTCCCATCGCTTCATGCTCATTCTCAGTCGGGTAATTCATTAACTTTTATGTCACGATACCCAGATCCCAGCGGCTGTAAAATTGTAAAAACGGACGTAAAGGAATAAAGGAAAACGTTCGAATGACGGGCTTCTGAGTTCGACTTCATCCAATTTTATTTTTTCACGGTGACTCACGGAAATATGACACTTTTCGCGGGAAACTAGCCGTTCTATTTATAAATCTACTCGGGAAAGGGTTGGAGGATGGAGGCTCCATTTGATGGGCTCCTGGTTTTACTTTGGATTCAGAATTAATATTTCTTGAATATAAAAGTGTTTCCCAAAATGAAATAATTTACTGACTGGAGGCAGCAGCCTAAAAACAGCTTTTTATGTTGCTGTTGATCAACAGGTGATAAAACATTGCCAGGATGCAATTTTATAGCAAGAAAATATTTTTGATTCTACGTATTAATTTTATAAAATATCTCCCTTTTTTTAGTTAGTGGGCCGTTTCGTTGGAATGAAGCAAAAAATACTCTGCTCCTACGTGAGTTATACTCCTTGGAACCATTTCGGCACAAAGTCGGCAGCAGGAAAACTTGGCAGAAGTGGACAGAAACAGCCGAAACACTAATGACTGCTTCGGTCTTTTTAGAGACATGCCTCGGGATCAGCGTAGTGTAAGAGAACAAGTTAATAAGCTGTTAAAAGACTACAAGAACAAGAAAAACAAGGACGAACAAACAAGTGGGATCAAGCCTGATCCACTAACAGAAACGAAACATTGCTTGAGCAGCGTGCAAAGAAAGTTGTGTACGATAGCCTGGGGCTAGTGGATTTTGCAATCAGGCTAGTGAATTCTGTTCTTAACTTGCCCGAAGGGCAAGTGAAGTTTTTTGGGAAATTCAAATTACAAAAGAACTGTAATCAATGCTGCTTATGAAAAGCATTTTTGGGCTAGTTAAAAAGACTCTTGGGCTATAGTCATACTAGTAGAAACTTGCCCGAATGGCAAGTCGTAAAACTGACTTTTTTGCACCCTGTTGAGGAATTAGTTGAGGCCATGGAGTCATTCAAGAACACTTCGCGTGGGAAATGCAAACAGCAAAAACGATGACCAGAAGAGGAACGATGCACTTGCATGTAGAGATAAAGCCATGACCACGTAAGCGAAGGCCTGAACAAGTGATGAAGCCTTTCATTCTGGGGACGAAAGTGCCACAGAGAAGAAGACTGTAAAGAGAAGAGGAAGAAAAAGAAGAGCTAGTTCTGAACCTTTCCACTATTTAGTAGAGAAAACAGCTAAGGAAACAGACCTCAGAAAAGAACAGCTGTAACTTCAAAGGCAGCAGCTGCAACTTCAGGCTGGGCAGCAAAAAGAGCAACTCAAAGCGCAACAAGAGCAGATGAAGCAAAAGGTACAAAGTCAAATGAACACACAAAGCCTTACTCTTGCTCTAGTACAAAAACGTACAAAGTGATAACATTTAAAGAGTTTTGTTGTTTGAGAGCTTGGTTATTTTGTAACCCCACACATTCAATTCAAAGTGGCATTTTGCAGTTTTTGGAAATTCTAATATGTTGCTTTGTTTCACAGCACCTTTAACAAACTGTTGCTTTTTTCTATTAGTTATCAAAAAATTCCCCCAAAATACATAAGCATGCGTGGTGAACTTTGCTTGGTAAATTGTTGTAAGTAGAAACAAGAGAAAGGATAACTTGTTTATTGTTCATGTTTTCCAAAATACAGTAATTTAATGATTGTTACCAAAGTGGTCATGAAATTGTTATTTCTTTCATTTTGACAGTTTGGGTCCATTATCTTTTTCATACAGGAATTAAGTTAACAGTGAATAGTCACTGTATTGGTTGATAGTAAAGTTATTGCACATACCATAGATGATTACCATGACAACTGCATATTTAACTCCAAGGTTTACCAACTTTAGTGGAAAATAAACTTAGTGTCAATCAAAGTTTTCTGTGCCCTCCATCACCGGTTCAGACCACCTCCCTGACCCACCCGGCAAACAAAGACAACACTGATCAATGTTTTAAAATCTGATCAGTGTTTCATAAGAACTTTGTAGGTTATACTAATTGGCCGCTTTTTCCTGGTTTCAAGTGAACATTTGTTTTTTTCTTTTTAAAGCCTTGCTGCTTTCTATTTTTAAATTTCATTTTGACGGACTGAAGACTCACCAGACACTAGCAATGAACTTGTGTGAAAAAATAAAACCTGAAATCCTGGATTAGCTGCTTGAACAACCTATTATATTTTGTCTGACTTGGCATGACCTCAGACATCTCTTTTTGATAGCGGTGCTCCTGCGCGCGCGAAGCGCGCCTGGGGCAGAGCCCCATACTAATGGAATATGGTCAACCTCTTTTCGCTTGGTTGTCACGTGAATGACCGAGCGTGCGTACGTACGTACGCGTCTACAGATTGTACGGGTAGGGTAGGGGAGACTCAAAAGGAAGGGAGGGGTGTCTCAGGCGTGTCTTGGCAAGTCCTCATCTTTTATATATGACACTCACAATATGGTCAATTGACAGCTGTCAAAACAGGATAGCCACTGACCAGTATCCCATGACCATATCGCGGGTTCACGTGTCAACTCATCGAGGTGACGTGATTTATTTGGAAGCTGTCCGCTGACCAGTTAATCGTTTTACTAGATCGCGAGCAATGTTCAATCATACTTTTTAGCTAGTTTGGGATCGGAGCACAGGAAAACTGATACACATATTGGACATCAATGTTGTGATCAATTGACAGCTGTCAAAACAAGATATCCGCTGACCAGTATCACTTGAGCGAATCGCGGGCTCAGGTGTCGACCCATCGAGGTCAAGTATTTTTTGAAGTTATCCACTGACAAGGCACTGGTTTTCAAATGATCGCAGGCTCAAGTTTAATTTTTTCCAAAAAAATGCATATGAAATATATTGTGTTTATGTGCCGCACAATTTCAAACTGACCTCGGACGCGAAAATTCAGTCAGCAGCTACAGGCAGGGAAGACAGTTGCTTTTGACTTTTCTCACCATGTTCTAGCCTGAAATTCATCCGATTGCTTCGAGTCGTTTTCTCCTCTCAACAATTACTGAGGGAGTTATAACGACTCGAGGTAATCGGATGAAATTCAGGCTAACCATGTTCACGCGTTGGTCACGTTCTACGTCCAATTTTTATGCTCTGATTGGTCAAAATTTGACAGGTGAGTTCATGCGGAAAATTTAGGTAGCATCTTGAATCTTGTTTACTTTGACAGCTGAAGCTGACAGAGTTTTGTGCCAACTTGTGATGTTTTTAACTGTCTTTTTCCACTGGATGTACAAAATGAAATTCAGCTGCTATCGGAAGTCTTCTGTTATTCATGGCTAGCTTGTTTATTGGGTTTTTGGTTGAGAAAAACGTCACTTGTCAAAGTTGGAAATCCGATTTCGGATGGCATCGTTTTCGTTTTCACCTTGCTTAAAGCGTAAGAGGGTTTCAAAGTCTGAAGCGATACTGGCCTTACTTGGTACCTTTGGGGAGCTGCATCTCGAGTGGTAAGCCTGGGTAATTATTGTATGTGATGTTTGTTTTTTATTTCTAATTTAGGGACGGACCATTAGAAAAGTTATGGGAGGGGGGGGAGGGGAATTTTCGAGCCGCAGGAATTTTTTTTCGTTATCAAATTCCTTGTATGAATTTTTTTTCAGGCCCTTGCATGAATATTTCTTAGGGTTAATTTGCGTGCAAGAATTTTTTTAAACTAAATTTTCCCTTGCGCGAATTTTTTTTTGTACTTCGCTCGCCCCCCCCACCCCATAAGTTTTCTAATGGTCCGTCCCTTAATGAAGTCGAGCGTAGTTTATGCGGCTATTTTGTTTACGCACGTTTGTAAGATTTGAGATAATGATCTGACCGAGTATCAGGTTTATATAAGCTTACAGATCTTTAAAAAGCCTTTAGACATTTTCTCACCGCAAATAGAAAGAACACGTTCCAAAGAATTTTTAGTTATAATTCTGGCTGTAAAAGCAGCTTTGAGCGATTTTCTTGCCTCGAGTTCGTCTTTGAAAAAAGCAAACACCGGGAAGCCGGCTTAAAACAAAAACTTCAGCTTTAAGCTCGAAGACTCAGGATTTTTAGAGACACTTTAATACTTGTCTTCCTGAATGAAAATTGTCGTCTCTGTATATGTTTTACCGAATTTTATTTCTTTTATTGATTATTAGTAGTCTCTCTTGTAATTTTAATCGCTGTGCCGATTGTTTTCAGTCGTTCAGTGAACAACGCTTCCCAGAGTACCCAAAATGCCGCGCGTTAAACCATTTTAAAATAGAAAATAAACATAATAAATTCTTTATATATTGGAGCTTAACTGTGTTAATGTTCATTCAAACACTCGCCACAGCTAGCACTGCAAAAGTCAGAACCGGCTGGCCGTATAGGTGTTTTTGGAAATTTTTTTAACGGTTTAGCTAAAGCCCACGCGTGCTTCGATCGTCCTGAATATTGCATGATAGCAATTTGTTTTGCAAAACTGTCAAATACTGCATTCTGTTGTCCGAGGTCTGTATGATAAAAACAGTGCCTCATAGTACTGTTTCACCTCAGATGTAAGGTTGGTTTACACGAACCCAGATTTGTTGACAATATTTTGTAAAGTAAACTTGTCGAACGCAAAAAATTCGGCCGAAACTTTTTTCCAGGCCCAATCAACCTAGGGTGATCAAGAACCATTATGGCTCTTTAAAAATGTGATCGAAGACGATTGCCAGTTTTTGGGTGTACATATGAGGCCATCAACTCGATGTAAGATTTGGTTCACTCTGGGGTTGTTTGCAAATTATTTTTGTCTAAAGTCACTTAGCCTTTCCCTGAAAAGTCACATGAATGTGCTGTAAAGGTAACTGAATTGTGGAATACAAGTTTATTGTTTGATTTAAATTATAAATTATTAATGCCTCGCTTTTAGCCCTGGCTAAATCTATATATCATACTATGGTGCCAGTAGGCCAAATAATCTTGAACAGTTGGTGGATCAAGTTGAAAATGTGTTGATGTTGTGTTACTATAAATGCAGGTGAGAATATTTCTAGACAGTGCCCAAACTATATACTGCTTTCCAATTACGCGTAATCCTAACTTTAGATTTTTCTTGAAATCTGTGAACTTGAAGGAGTTGGAGATATCGCCATTTAGCCATCTCACAGGGGTGCTACGAAAACTAAGACCCTCGAAAACTAAGACCTAAGACCTAAGATCCGTCTCAGTTTTCGAGATTACGAAAACTACTGAAGGTCTCCTAAAATCGAATCCGTCGAAATATGAAGCCAAATTGTAACCGAAATAGGTCTAATCTAACAAATTATCTTCTGTCCGATTCTTTCCACCGAGTTTTAGGTGAAATTTAACGGTAAATGCACGGGTCTTAGTTTTCGCAATTTCGAAAACAAAGATCCCCCTTAGTTTTCCTTATTACGAAAACTAAGACCCCCTACATAACCAATCCGTAAAATATATGTGAAGCTGAATTACGACCGTTCAAAGACTATCCGTAAAACAAGCAAAAACCTGAAAAAGTATCATCTGCGTGCTGACGATCCGCTTCTTCTGATAATTTGCAGACCGTATCAGTATTGAGGCTTTAAAAAGAGGATGAAAAGCCATAGACTACCTGGGTATAATTGTACCCTGGAAATATACCTTACCCCGCCGATTGGTCTATAATTTTGGTTCTTTAAAAATTGTAAAATTGGCTTTTTACTGGAGATGGATTTTTGTCTTCCTGTCTCTGCGGCCGTGATTGCGTTACCTAAATATCACCCAAGTGGTGTTTTGTTTTGATCGTTTGTTTATTTTATTTTTTCTGAAACTAAAAACGCAAAATTTTCAAGATGATGCCTTGCTAGTACAGGAAATGCATTCATTAATTGATTTTAGCCAGTATCCCTCACAGACTATTTCTCCTTGCCCCCACCCTACCCCTCTTCCACCCCGAAATTGTAACTTTTCAACTGGTTTCCGGTGATCTCCGGGGTGGCGTGTAGCATATACTCTTTTTTTCGCCCTTTTAAAGAAAGCATTTTTCTGTCAATGGCTTGGGCCTGGCCAGAAAAGGAAAAAAAAACGTATTGTTGTGTGATGTTTAACCGATAACGCCGTTGACCATTAGTGCGACAAACGCAGACTGGCAGGTAAACGACCCATCAAAGTTTAAGTCATTTAAAGGTCTAGTTTAGGAATCCGCTCAAGCATTTCACAACAAATGTTTACCTCGTTTACCTGCCAGTCTGCGTTTGTCGCACACCGGGACGAAGTGGGTAAGCTGGGTCTCCATAGGGACATAGGACCTTCCCCCTTGGACCGTAAGCTTCTCACATTTTAATGTGTTTGCAGCAGGCCAGCGTGTTTGAGCATCCCTGCAACGTGGCGTGCACCCTCCACCGGACCATAAAGATTTGCTATGAAACCATTTGGCAGTGCTATAGATTAAATTATTAGCGAATGAACACGCTCGTGCCTGTTGTATACAATGCGCTGTTTTTCTCCAGAGCGCCATATGGGTCGAACCGTGCCGTCAGTGAAACCAAAACAATTGGTAAGTGGACTTCCTTGTCTTGTTATAGCACGGGCGTATTCTTGAAGGCAAGTAGGGGTGAGAAATGGCTGATTCCAAGAGGTTAAACGAAACCCGTGTTCATTAAAAACCCAATCAAGTACAGTGTTAGCCATCATGCAGAGCTCTGGCACCGGACGTCCAAAAGTTGAAATTAAATCGAAATAGCGGCATGGGTATGCTAATAGTTTTAGCAGTAAACCGAAGTCCTTCTAAGCTACTGCAAGCTGTTCCCTGTGGGCAATTGAATCTCGCCGGAATCCGAAATGCATTCAATAAAATCGCAATATCATCCTTAGCCACCCTGAAGTGAGCTTCGCACTCGCAAGAGTTGAACACATCCAAACAGAATGGATCAAAATTCCAGTCTGGAAATTGAGGATTAACGGGTCAGTAATAATCGTAAATAATAATAAACTCTTCATCATCGAGAAAACCACCGGCAAAAACAATTAAAAGGGTGTTTCTAACATCTTCGAAAGAGATTTTCTTTTCCAAGCGCAGCCATAGTCTAAGTCTTCGTTGTCACGATCTTAACATCAAACAACAGTCCAATTTTTGCGGCCTTTTAGCGTAGTCGGCCCAGTCCACGCGTGGCTTGGACTCTCACGTCCAGAAGTACTTCGTAGTCCGTAGTGACCGTATCTTAAAGTCCCTATTAGTTGAGCACTACCGACTGAAGATCTCGATTAGAACATGTATAGCTTTCGACGAAGGTTCGCGCATTAAAACGTTCGATTTTGTAACTCAGCATATGTTTTCTTTCCAGATCATGGTATATATTATTCAAGAATTTGTTCATGCTTAGCGTGCGTATATCGAGTTATGGAGTGCTCTCCAAACTTCCCAAGTGCATCCATAACTCGATATACGCACAGCTAAAAGCATAAGCAATTTTTTTAACAACATATCTGACAAAAATGGTTGCTTTTTGATTAACTACAAAGTTCTCAAAATTGTTAAGTTAAACGTGTTCATAATAGAGACCTTTACATTCGACGACGAGAACGACAACGAGTACGAGATTTAACATACAGCCGAACTCGTTGTATCGCCCTACGCATTTGCAAACTTCGAATGGGTTTTTCTGTTCCGTCCGAATCATTTGAGTGTGGGTGGGGTTAATGCAAATCACAATGCAACGCGCTCGCCCAGCTTGGACCGCAAAGACAAAACTGAGAATGACTCTAGACTGCTCAAGAATAGCGAAATCGCGATGATGAGTGGAATTTTTGTCGAGGGCAGGAGGCAGACATAAGATAAGAAAAAGAAGGATCAGAAAAATCTTCGAAGAAAACTGATCGATTATTGCCCGAAACAGGGCGATCGAACCTTGCAACACAGAAACAACCAAAGTGGATCAAAATGCACCAATCACAAGTAAACATATGTGTCCTAAGAGGTCCGCCAAGATTATTGACGGAAAAAAACCTATAAGTTGGCGTTGCAAGCAACAAACCATCCGAGGAGGATGTTAAATTATAATTTCCTGATCTTTTTATCGACACAAGTTCTCTTAAATACGTTGGGGCGAATCCATAGATGGCCTTAAAAACAAATGGTAGAATCTTAAAACTAATGCGTTGCCTAACCGGTAGCCAGTGCAGCTCGTACAGCAACGGCGTTATGCGACAGTAGCGTGGCGCGCGACAAACTAGTCTTGCTGCGGCATTTAGAACGCGCTGAACCTTATTCAGGTGAGAAGCTGGCAAGCCATATAAAAGACTATTACAATAATCTACACGCGATGTAACAAACGCATGTACGAGGGCTTTATGAAGAATGAAGACGGCTACCAAGTTTTCATGCCAAAATGACGCTGGTTCACGCGCGCGCAATACTGTATTGAAGAAATCTCGTCCTCGTAGTCGTACTCGTCTTAGAATCTAAAGGTCTCTAATGTTTATTTTATTTGTAGCTATGGTGACAAGACTCCAAAATCCACACTTGCTCGGGTATATGCTTCGCTGTGGATGATCGTCGGATTGATGTTAATGTCAGTCATTACTGCCCAGGTCTCCTCGACCATCACCTCTGAAAACCTACGCTCCTTGGATGAAGAGTTTGGCAAAAAGGTACAATAGCCAATTAAGAATTTATATATTTTTAAACGCTTTAACAAGGAAACGAAGAAACTCTCAGTCATATCGGCAAAGCCCGATACAGCCTACAAACACTAGTTGAATGATCAGATTGCTTCTTTTTACATGCTTTTTCTTAGCGGTATACGTGGTGTTTTAACCATCGGACGTAAAATTCACCCCAACCCCTCCCCCTGGTTCAGCGGGGGGGGGGGATTTCCAAACGATTTTACCTTCAGTGGAAAGCCTTTGATCCTCTGAGGTGAGAAGGGGGGGCAACCACCCTTCGTTGTACGTCCGAGGATTAAGACACCAGAAGACACCAATTCGGAAACAAAGCCAATGTGCTTTCTTTACTCTTTCTTTATCGCTTAAATTTCAATTCTCGGATGCAAGTACGAAGTACACCATAATCTTTCCAATTCTTCCGGGAAGCAAGCTTGACGACTCCCAAAAGCAACACATCCAATACATTAATGAAACTATATATACTACAGACGGTCCTGCAAAATGTGTCAGCACTGTAAATGTTAACAAGAACAATAAAAAAAACTGATATTTGCCTTTCGATGTTGACCAGCGTTCAAAACAAACCCGTTGTTCAGCTGCTGACAAAGTGTACGGGCATCGAAAAATAACGAAGAGGAGGCACATCCTATAGATCAAATATATTTTTTTGCATTTTGTTCCACTTTGTTTAAGGTGATGAGTACAATGTTTATTTTCAACCGTTGTCGTGTTCGCGAAATGGCAGTTTTCATTTAGAGCACAGTACCACTGAGAGCGCATTTCATAGAATTTAAGGTTTAAATGTTATACTTGAAGACACAATGCCAAAGTGTGAGAGGGAAAAACTAGCACTATGTGTTACAAGGCGATAGGCTACTTCCACTAAGAGGTCATGTGACCAATGCTTCCTTTAAGCATTGATTTGGAATCTTGGTGATGCCAAAAATTGACAGAGCACATAAAAGTTACCTTACACCCGAAATTTGAGAGGAAACGCATTAAAGGGAGACATTTTATGGCACTTTGATTTTTCAACAAAGCAGTATGATTTGTATTTGCCGCCAAGTTGGAGGGCATACTCTTGCCCTCCAACATGGCGGCCAAAACTACTTTTTGCTTATATCTTGTTGAACGTTTGATAGTTAGTTGATGTGCTGTAAACGTTACCACATCAACTTTTCAACATTTTCCTTGACGTTTGAGTGCAAAATTTGTGTTCAGAAAGAGGTAATTCATATATTTAAAAATCACATTTTCTTCAAGTGACCAGCTACGAACTGACTCAATTAAAGAAAATAGTGCGGGATTGAAAAACCAAATCACTATTATTACATTATTTTGTTTAGGATATGACCCACTAATCGTTTTTCGAAGGCAAAATCATAACTTTCATTTTCATAAAAACGTTGTCACATGACCTTTTAGTACAAATGGCCTATTTGTGAACGACAAACAAAGGAATCGCCCCATGTAAGGGAATCCAAGAGGGTCTTGGATTCTGGATTCCATGCGGTGGACTCCCGATTCCAGGTACTGGATTCCAGTCTTTGTCAGTGAAACTAGGATTCTGGATTCCAAGGCTAGCGCTTAAGTGGGAATACAGATTCCTTGAGCTGTATTCCGGATTCCACAAGCTCTTTTTTCCGGATTCCGAATTCCACAGACCAAAATTTTCTGGATTCCAAAATCCGGTTGCCCTTACAAAAAGATTGCTCTCCATCAGCCTCAGGGAGTGCAGCACCATCTTTTTTTAAATAAAAGGGGTTGTCTTCTGCTCCTTCAGCTATTCCTTTAGTATTGATGTATTGATATCTAAATATGCTCTTCGTAATGCTGCATAATGATTGTACAAAAATTGAAAAAGAAAATTCCCATTTGACGGGTCTAGTGTAATACTTTCCAGGTTCATTAATCGCAGTTTAGCCATTTCGTGAACACCTAGTTTTTGTTTGACTCTTAATTTTCTGACCATCTACAGTTTCAATCTCTTTGCCCGTTCGCAGCTTTATCATTTAAAAATTTCCTTCCTAGATTGGAGTTCCAAAGGGAAGCAAAGAATTTTTTAAGAAAAGCAGCTTTGAAGCTCATTCAGTGACTGGTAAATATACTTTTTTCTAATGATTTCTTGTATAAGTTTTTAACCTAATTAATTTTGTTTATATAAAGAAAAATTAAACTTAAAAACGTTACTCGGCGTTTCGATGTTTCAAACATCATTATCAATTGTGAGAAATGTTAAGTTTCAAAGTTGTTTAAAGAGCTGACGTTTGAATCAATAAGACTGTATTCGTGCATGCTTCATTGTTCTGTAGGTTTTTTCATAGAAAAGCTTAATAATAGGTGCAGTTACACGGGACACTTTTACCGTGCTAAATGGGAAATTGGCGTGGTGGGTGTGACCGGACTGTCCCGAGATAAATTTACCATGGGAAATATCCATGGTTACGTCGAAAAGAAGAAAGAAATCGCCCATGACATTTAACGTGGTAAATAGCTGAGGGTTTTTGATACCCAAGGCAAACAGAGCCAATCAGGTTTCCTCATTTGACACCAACATTAAACCACAAAAAATAAAATTTACTTTTCGACATGTGTGGTCTGAGCGTATGTATCTTTTGGCTGTGTGTGTTATGATGTGTGTTACACGAGCCAATAAGGTTGAAAGTACTATGATTTGAAGCTAGGAACCGACGAGATTTTGGCATCTAAGCCATGACTTTGTCAAAAGTCAAACAAGGGTGCTTGAGACTGCCCCTATCTTGGTTCTTCACAATTACTAGTTTTTCGTCTTTTATCACGGCTAAAGGTGTTTAGAAGAATAACATTTAAATATCTTCAGGATTCAAACACTAAGTACAGTAATGGAGCTGTTTAGGGGCTCTTGTTTTTGTGTGGGTGCTGCTTCGAGACATTTCTGACCTAATTTGGCTACCTCGAACGGTGCAACGCACGTATTTCTTAAATTATGAGTTCTGTTTCATCTGCTTCAAGGTAGACTATAAAAGATCATATATTTTTCAAAGTGCTTCAAATGAAACGTTAATAACTAATATTTAGATATGGACTTTAATTCGGTAGTATGCGCCCCATAAATTGTGGTTGTAGAAGTTTGAAAGGAAGCTTATTATTTTTTTTTTGAAAGCTGTACCGAGTAAGTTAATCATGTAAATAAGCTTTATTCAGTCTGGCTTACAGAGTTCAACAGATCTTTTTCGTTCCGGCAAACGTGAATTAAGTGAACAACATGATACATGCTCGCTGCTTAAGAGTCACCGATTTCCTTCAACATACTTTCCCCCTGATTAAGAAAAAAACATCATATGTTTAGAAAAAATTATAACTAGCAGAAGCACATTCTGCAATTCTTCATTTTCTTATCTTTTCTGAATATGCTCTTTTCATTTGTGAATTTTCACTGTAGAATATTCCACAGAAAACGATCTTTTAAAGAGCCTTGAAAATGGAAGTGTGGACCAGATTTGGCTGTTTGAGTGCAGAGCTAAGGCAGACTTCCCTCTCATGTTTGTAAAAGTTCATCATGAAGCACCAGAAATCGGGGTACAAATAACGACACAAGATACAGAAGATGGTCGGCATTTCTCAGATTGGGTTGAGAACAATCATTATTTTGTTGACGAAGATGATTATGATGATGAAGATGATGATTATTATGATGAAGATGATGATTATTATGATGACGAAGATGATGATGATTATGACGATGAAGATTGCAGATATCCGTTAAATGTGGCTCTGAACCGGGTGGCTAAGGCTTACACTCAGGGGTGTTTAGATGTAAGAAAATTTCATTTTCTGTTTTATTTTAGGCATCAGTTGTGTTATTGTCTCGAATTCTCTGATACGAAAACGCCCATTCTGCATGAACTAAATCGCAAGCAAACTGCAAAAATTGAAATGAGTACTTTAAAGTTAGTCAGTTACCATTGCTAGCCCCTTAAGCGTCTTTTGCATGTAAACCACCTCCTCCGATTAGCGTCGCAATCTTTCTCTGTCAACCCCTGCCCACTGATTTTCTTTCGTCCCAAGTGAGGCAATCCAAGACAGTTTTGGAATCTGGATTCCAAGCCGTGGATTCCGGATTCTACGTTCCAAATTCCAGTCTTTGTCAGTGTAACTTGGATTCTGGATTCCAACAAGAGCGAATCATTCTCTCTTGATTCCAATCGTAAGTAGGATTCCTTGAGCTGTATTCTGGATCCCAAAACTCAGGATTCCGGATTCATCAAGCAAAATTTTCCCTTATTCCGTACAGTTCCTCTTGCAAAATTCGACGGGTACGGCCGGAATCCGGATTCCCTTGCAAATGGCGCCTTTAGTCCTGATATTCAACATTGACAAACGTCGTTTTCCTCCACCCCCTGTCTGCGCTATAAGATGATTTCGACCGGACCAGCAAAGAAAGAAACGCTTTTTAAAGTTTAAGGTTTCATTATATTGCCTTTATTTTAGTTTTGGTAATTCGTCAGTAGCATAAAATAATAAAAGATAGATCCAAATAGACTTTGATAGACTTTGTCTAAATGTTAATAAAATCATCGTTTAATAAGGCTTTGAAGAGGTGTGAGTGTCGATACTATCTTGGAACCCGTTATGTTAGCAAGACATTCTCAAATTTTCCAGTGCGGTGTAATAAGCGTAAAATACGAGGAGGCAATTAGCTGATTAGTAACTTACAAGCGTACTCAAGGATTTAAAATCAGGTGTTTCCCGTCAATTTTAGCTTGTCAGTGAACCGGCGAGACTCGAATCCGGAGCATCGTTATAGTCTATGCTCTGGCCAATCCACTCTGCTTTCTCAGTTTAATTTCTTAGTTATTTGAATTCGTTTCTTCAACAGAAGCGCTGCTTTCAATTGTTCGACTATGGCAAATCCCGTGGCAGTCTGAAGAAAAACACGGGAAAGAAGATGGAATTGATTGATTACTCAATATGTGGCTTGGCGGGACTGCTGGTTGTTCTTTTCATTGTTGGAGCATTGGGAGAAACCTGCTTAAAAGGGCTAAAAACAAAAACAAAGAAGCCTCCTAAAGGTCCGTTTTACATTCTTAAGATACCTTAAAGATTGTCTTGACAAGCTCTTGACCCGAACTTAGCTGACATAAGAACGTCAAAACCGAGGCGCAGAGCTACAACAGCAGTGTGCGCCAGCGTACTAAGTCATTCAACCGTTTTCTTCACTTTTCGTACTGCCCGGTTATTTTGGTCGCTCTTTGCTATTCACTCTTAAAGCACCGACAAACAATAAACCGGAATCGGGCAGTAAGTTACCTTGCTTCCACTGCACAATGAATTTGGCAGTAAATAAGTCTTGCATGATATGGTTAATAAGTAATTCCTGTGACATGCGAATTAGCGTCTAGTGACCAATCTAACCAGTGAACTTATCAAAACAAAAAATAGCATCTTCCAATCATACGATGTTCAAAGGAGGTCATGACCAAACTTGAGTTAAAATGAACGGCGGACTTGTCCATGCATGTCATTTGTCTCTAAATATTTTGAGCAGTGACGTTTGCGGCAATAGGTTACAGTGGTAACATAAGCTTTGGTTACCGACTACTAAGAAGGGCTTAAGAGATTAGGTTATTAGCCCACCGCCCACATCACGCAGAATGCAGGGAACTCATTAATTATTCATAACCAGCAGCCAAGCGGTAAATTTGAATGCGAATAGGCTGGGAAAAGCTCCAATAAGAGAAGAAAGGGCTGAAATTGGTCAGGTAGCGCTGACAAAACTTGCTTTCAGTGCTTTGCAAAAGCCAAATCCTAAAAACCTACGGGCGGCTTCTTGAAGAAAAATGGTGTACTTGATATTTGATTCTAAAACGAAAAAGATGAACAAGCTAAGAGTAAGCATTATCCCTCTTAACTTGAAAATACAGCAAGAATGGACTTTTTTAGCATGGACTCCAGGCACTTTGGAAATTAAAGGAATTTTCCGAAAATTTACGCTGTTTTGAAAAAACCCTCGCGCGGCTTTTGAAAGATGGATCTTTTCTCGGCGAACAGAATCTGTTTTAATTTGACAATCGGTTGAGTAGGACCACTATCCCTTTCACTTTGAAAACTTCTGGTAGGAGATGTGTTCGAAAATGGCGCGTCTCTTAGGCCCACGAGAGAATAACAATGGTTGTCAAGACTGATACAATGCCCATTCAAGAAAACCAATCAGTTTTAAATAGTTCAGTATTGCCGCGAATTTAAAGCCCATTCAGTGCAACATCTGAATCATTCGAACTGCCGGTCAGATCTCGCAATAAATAACGCGGAAATCGAGAACATCAAAGATCAGTAGCTCTTTTCAGAGCTCTCAGACAACGCAATCAACGTTTCATATCCACAAGGTGCCTCCTTTTGTGGATATAAAAGATTTCATTTTCTGGGGTCTTCATATAAACGGAGAAGCAATATGGGAATGGCGGTAAGTTTATGGGCGGCTCAAAGATGGAATTTGATTTGCTCCAACGAAGTGTTTTATCGATTTTTACCACTACGATACGAGGTGCTGAACTAATCTCGGGAACGTGTTGGCAGCGTAGTAGCAGTGAGCATCGGGCGCTTTTGTTTTCCTCTCATTACAAAAAGTCGACCTACTACCCCGACATTATGGTTAATATAGGAGCTAATTAAGTCTTTTGACCTCGCAGTAAGTTTATTTACGACATAATCAAGATCTCTCGCGCGCTGAAATAAATGGAAAATTTCATTTTTCTTTCTGTGGTTTAACTTTTGAAGAGACAAAATTCCCGCAAAATAGAGCAAAGTGATTTTATTAACGTTAACTTTGAAATATCCTCAAATGCGCGATTTTGCGAAAAAAAAAGAGCTAAAAGGAGAAAACAATAATATATAGCGTGCTGCATTCATTGCTTACTTTTCCACCTACATCATATTAATGAGCATCGTCGTGCATTCTTGGCATGCAACCAGTGGTTGAAACGCTTTCATAGCGTCTAAGCATGACTGCCCGTAATATGACAGATCTAAGAGCTTTGGTGAACTGGAGGTAAATGTCCCGAGAACAGCCATTCCGAGCGATGAACCCCACCATGGAGGACCAGAGGATCACTCCGCTGGCCTCTACCCTTCGATCTGTTTAGCAAGGGTGGCCCTACACCCCACCAGGAGTATAAAAACCTAGCCGACATAAGCTCTTAGGATCAGAGAAACAGTGCAAACGTCCCACCACGGTAATGTAGTCATTCCCATCTGGAAGGGATTATAGTTGTCATTTACAAGTCTCATAAATGGGAAAGACTAAGGCGTTTTTTTTTTCCAACAGAGTTGTTTTCATTTTTTGCTTTCTATCAAGAGAGGATAATGGGTCGGACCGTACTCTCTCTTATCTCTATTGATGCCTTTTTCCCTTACCCCTCCAGTGTGGTAGTAGTAGCCTTGAGGAACAGAGAAAGATCAAGGAAACACTTCAGCGACATCTTAACAGGTTAACCGTAATTACCATCTTTATTTCTCAACAGCCTGCAATCGAGATGTCGAAAAAGGAGATACTCATGCAGAAGAAATGGAAAACCCTGGAAGCCCCATGTCAAACAATATTTCATAAAGGATTTTCCCCATCTTACAATTATTTTTTTTTTATAGGATTGAGGGCCTCTTCACATGAACCAGGTAGAGCGGGCTGCAGGGCCCAGTTCACTCCGGGACCATTTTCGCCTTGGGTTCATATGAGAAATTTCAGCCCGGTTTCCGAAATGAATTAATATATAGATTTAGCCAGGGCTAAAAGCGAAGCTCTGGTTAATGATACGCGTAAACAAAAAAAAATTAAAACATCTAATGCTAAACGCGGACGACAATGAATATGGCTTCAAGACTAATAGATGCAATTAGCAAAAAAAAAAACAAACAAACAAATTGCACGTGCAGCACACTTTTTCTTGTAATTTCCCTTGTTGTTGTTTTGTACGGCTAAAACGTCAAGCTTCCTAGTTACGACAATTCCTCCATGAAAATAATGTGTATGTGCTTACCCAATATTTTGTCTCCTGTGTTCATGTTCGCTTTTATTTTTCATTGCCGCTCATTTTCACCTCGCTGGTCGCTAGCATTACTCATTTTCTCACCGCCGCTTTGAATTCCATGTTTTTCTTCCTAAGAAATTCGTTTCCTTTGTTTTCAATAACTCGCTCTAGCTCTTTCTCTGTTGTCCACGTTAATGCCAACATAAAAAATAACGCCGAAAAAGACACGACTATGTTGTTGTTTTTCTTCTAAATAAAACCTTGAGTCGCACTAGGGTTGCCATACCTGTTGATTGAGTTATTTTACATTGGTATGCCTGTGGTGCGGACGGACGGTAGCTCGCTCGCTCGGTGTACGGTCACGTGATTACCAAATTTTCTTGGATGGGTAGTTTACCACATATTCTTACCCATGATGCTCCGCTGCGCGCTTCGCGCGCGAGAGCTCCGCTAAAAAAGACCAAACATCCTGGGGACGAGTTATGGCGCCAATTTCGAGAAACAGCGCAAACACCGCGAAAGTCAAAAATTATCGAGAATTCGCGTCTTTCATAGCTATGGCAACTCTTATAGCTGTATCGCTGCAGTTAAATGGGATGCTTATTATGTGGAAAATACAGCAGGCAATGGGACGATGCCGTCCAGGCCGCCAGAATTCATCCCGCTTTTATCCCGGTAACCGAGCTGAAGTGTTCATATGGCCAAAAAATTTTAAAACACTTACCGACGCGAGATCCCGGTTGGAAAAACGGAGATCTGGGGAACCGAGCCAGCCCGCCCTCTCATATGATCACATCGAAAATTTTATAAAGGATTTAGAGGTAAGGCGAGATCTCGGAAAACCGGGCCAGCTCAGTCAACCGGGCTCATGTGAAGCGGCCCTGAGAATCTCTTCTTGTAGTTTGAAATGTGCACGTGTGGTTGAATTGTGAAGCGTGGTTGTCCCTGTGATTCCGGCTTTAAGTAATATGTAGTAACAGTAACAATGACGTCCTCATGAAAATAAAATAAAGAGCCGTTGTTAAAAAAATTGCGCGTTATTTCTTATTGACCGATCATTTTATTTATATTTTCAAAACGTGCTGATTGCTCAATGCATCTCATCAAAATTCAGAAAACCCTTAGTAGCGGAAACGTCTTCAGAAAACTGAAGTCACAACAGGCAAAAAAAAATATATAAAGAAAATCATGAAAGAAATAAAGGAACAGGGCGTTTTGAAAATGGCAACATTTGTTTGCTTCGCTCTAGAAGCTAAGTTAGTTTCAAGTTAGCACTTGATTTAAGTGCACTTGCATATCTTAAGTCGCTTTGTAGATAACATGGCTTCACACTTGTTGGCCAAGTGTAATACTTGAAGTATAAGCTGTCAATCATCTTTCGCGATAAAATCAGCTATGGATAAATCAAAACGCAATTGCGCACGACGTCGTGTTCTGTATTTATCTAGAATGGCTCAACAACACTCTTTTCGGCAAAGAAACCGCCTGAGGCCAAGGATTTGGAGTCGTCGGCAAATTTGGTTTGGATTGGTCTCAGCTAACCGAGAGATGGATCCACTATATACGCCTTATTCATAAATGGTGGACGCGCGGTTAAGACTTGAGCCGAGTACACGAAAACAAGGCTTAAGAGACATCATAAAAACGACGGCGTTGAAATTAATACTCGCCGCTGTGTACCATTTTGTAGACAAAGAGGCCCTGTTGGCCCAGAGGGAGAAAAACGCTATTCGAAGAGATGTTGGTAGATTTTTTCTTATCACCGTGGCATCAAAAGTCTGTTCCTTACACTTAAAACGAACTGACTTATCGAAGGATCTTAATTGGTGGACGTTTGTCTGTCAAAACAGGCGTTTTTCCTTCGAATATTCCTGGAAAAAGCGTCTTCACGAAAGCGTCCTCCCTTTCCGAAATGCCATATCAGCAACAACGGGGGAAGTCTCAATTAGCTGAGTCTCTATCCTTGTAGGAGGAAATACTAGTCAAAAAACACCTGAAGCAGAAAACGATATTCGTGAGACGGGTACGAATTTCAATAACGAAACTGCAACGTCGTCAGAATTCGCTGAAACTAACG